GTTCCAGTAGGAGAAATTCTGGTCAGACTAGTAAGAGCACTTGATAGTCTCTCTCCATGTCTATCATCTACCTCGTTTTCAGGATCCATGAATGCAACATGTTCAGTAACTTTTAACAATGGATTTTACCTTAACCAACTGTTGGCAAGGGCCCCAGGAATTGACTGTTCGACAAATAATTACCAGGAGCCTGTTGTGTGTTCTACATCTGTTAGGGGTTAAAACAAACACATTAATGACCATGATGAATAGGTAAAAAACCTTGGCACAGTGAACATCACCATAAAAGAATTGATAGAGTTGTGACTACAGTGGCCCATATTATTTGGATAAAAGGTTGATATCAAATGATTGCATTTTGTATTTCTGGTAGAGATCATTCAGAGTTTAAGATGCTATCAGAATGGTGGCTACCCATTTTCTGAATATCCATGTCAATGCCAATTCTGGCCTCACAGCCTATCACTATAACCCCTTCCCAGAAAGAGAGGGGCTGGCATGATTTGTCTTTATTACATACTAATTCTGGGTGGGCTGTAAAAGTTAAAGGAGATTGAGAAATATCAGGTGCTTTTTTTCTTCATTGGTGAATCTTTTTTTAATTTTATTTTTTAACATTTTAATGCAGGTGTAGTTAACTTACAGTGATACATTAGTTTCAGGTGTACAATATAATGATTCATCACTTCCATACTTCACCCAGTGCTCATTACAAGTGCACTTCTTCTTCTTCTTCTTTTTTTGTTAAAGATTTTATTTATTTATTTAAGAGAGAGAGAGAGCAAGAGCAAGCACAAGCAGCGGGAACAGCAGGCAGAGCAGGCAGAGGGAGAAGCAAGCTCCCCGCAGAGCGAGGAGCCCGATGAGGGACTGACTGGATCCTAGGATCCTAGGATCATGACCTGAGTTGAAGGCAGCTGCTTAACCAATTGAGCTACCCAGGCGTCCCCACATGTGCACTTCTTAATCTCCATCACCTATTTAACCCATCCTCCAAACAGTTCCTCTGGTAACCATCTGTTTATCCTCTATAATTAAGAATCTCTTTGTTAATTTCTCTCTTTTTTGTCCCTTTGCTCATTTGTTTTGTTTCTTAAATTCCACATATGAGTGAACTGAGTATTTCTCTTTCTTTGACTGACTTATTTCACTTAGAATAATACATTCTATCTCCATTCTTATCATTGTAAATGGCAAGATTTCATTTTTTATGGCTAAATATTCCATTGTGTATATGTGTTCGTGTATACATATGTATATGCACTACACTTTCTATCCATTTATCAATTGATGGACAATTGAACGGCTTTCATAATTTGGCTATTGTAAGTAATGCTTCTGTAAACATTGGAGTGTGTTTATCTCTTTGAATTAGTGTTTTTGTATTTTTGGGTAAATACCCAGTAGTGTGATTGCTGGATCAGAGGGCAGTTCTATTTTTAACTTTTTGAAGAACCTCTGTAATATTTTCCATAGTGGCTGCACCAGTTTGCATTCCCACCAGCAGTTCAAGAGGGTTCTTTTTGCTTCACCTTCTTGCCAAAACTTAGTGTTTGGGTTTTTATTTTAGTTTAGCCATCCTGACAGATGTAAGTTGATATGTCATTGTAGTTTTCGTTTGTATTTTCCTGATGATCACTGGTGTTGAGCATCTTTTCATGTGTCTGTTGGCCATCTGTAAGTCTTTGGAGAAATGTCTGTTCAGGTCTTCTGCCCATTTTTAAATTGGATTATTTGTTTTTTGGTTGTCTAATTTGGTAAGTTCTTTATATATTTTGGATCCTAACCCTTTATTGGATATGTCATATGCAGTTATCTCCTCCTATTCAGTAGGTTGCCTTTTAGTTTTGTTGTTTCCTTTGCTGTGCAGAAGCTTTTTATTTTGATGTAGTCCCAATAGTTTATTGTTCTTTTGTTTCCCTTGCTTCAGGAGGCATATCTAGAGAAAAGTTGCTATGACCAGTGTTAAAGAAGTTACTGCCTGTGTTCTTTTCTAGGACTATTGTGGTTCTTGTCTCACATTTAGGTGTTTAATTCATTTTGAATTTATTTTTGTGTATGGTGTAAGAAAGTGGTCTGGGTTCATTCTTTTGCATGTCGTTGTCCACTTTTCCCAGCAGCATGTGTTGAAGAGATGATTTTTTTCCATTGCATATTCTTGCTGCCTCTGCCAAAGATTAATTGACCATATAATTGTGGGTTTATTTCTGGGCTTTCTATTTTATTCTATTGATCTATGTGTCTGTTTTTGTTCTAGAACCATACTATTTTGATTACTACAGCTTTGTAATATAATTTGATGTCTGGTATTGTGATACCTCCAGTTTTTCTTTTTCAAGATTGTTTTGATATTCAGGGTTTTTTGTGGTTCTACACAAATTTTAAGATTGTTTGTTCTAGTTCCGTGAAAAATGCTATTGGCATTTTGGTAGGGATTGCATTAAATGTATAGATTGCTTAGATTAAATGTATAGTATAGACATTTTAATATTATTTGTTCTTCCAATCCATGAACATGCAATGTCTTTCCATTTCTTTGTGTTGTCTTCAGTTTCTTTCAGTTTCTTAATGCAGAATCTCAGGCCCCATCCTAAATGTCCTGAACTATAATCTGCATTTTAACAAAATCCCCCAGGTTGTCGAATGTGCATTAAGAGTAAGTAACAGTAAGAGTTATTATACTGATTTGTGAAGTCTAGATCATTATTTATGAGTTAAATGGTCAGGCTTCTATTAAAGTTTCTGCAAGAGATGCCCTCGTTAGTATCCTGAAAACCAGCTCTGATGCAGGGGTTTCTCTGTGGGTTAGCCAAGTAGACCTGAACCAGTTTCTTTTTGCCCAAGGGGAAGAAAGAACGAGTTAGGTGCCTGAAAATTGCCACATCACCTCTTTTCCTCCTTATCTCTGCAGGAGAATATAAAATCAATAGCTTTGCAAGTGCATGGATGTGCTAGAGAGGATAACTTCTCCCTTCTTGGAGATGATTCATACTGCAGTGGATAAACTAAAACAGAACAGCAGATTTTCTGAGACTGCAGGGGAACTTCTGGTTGATAGGAATTTCCCATTGTTCCACAGTCCATAAACATTCTCTGGAGAGATTTTCCAAATATTCCTTTTATTTTATTTTATTTTAATCTTTTTGCCTATACACAAATGCTTCTAGCAGCTTTATTTGTAATTGCCAAAAACTGGAAACAATCTAGATGACTTTATTTACTTATTTATTTTTGTTATGTTCAGTTAGCCATTGTATAGTACATCATTAGTTTTTGATGTAGTGTTCAGTGATCCATTAGTTATGTATAACACCCGGTGCTCATCACACCACGTGCCCTCCATCACCCTGTTACTCCCTCTCCCAACCGCCTCCCTTCTGAAACCCTCAGTTTGTTTCCCGGAGTCCAGAGTCTCTTATGATTTGTCTCCCTCTCTGATTTCTCCCCCTTCAAATTTCCCTCCCTTCCCCTATGGTCCTCTGTGCTATTGCTTATGTTCCACATATGAGTGAAACCATATGATAATTGTCTTTCTCTGCTTGACTTACTTCACTTAGCATAATTCCCTCCAGTTCCATCCATGTCGATGAAAATGGTAGATATTCATCCTTTCTGATGGCCGAGTAATATTCTGTGGTATATATGAACCCTATCTTCTTTATCCATTCATCTGTTGAATGACATCTCAGCTCCTTCCACAGTTTGGCTATTGTGGACATTGCTGCTATAAACACTGGGGTGCACATGTCCCTTCTTTTCACCACATCTATATTTTTGTGGCAAATACCTAGTAGTGCAATTGCTGGGTCATAGGGTAGCTCTATTTTTAACATTTTATTTAGGTTTTTGGAGCATGTGCCCACGCACCTGCAGCAGTGGGGAGAGGCAGAGGGAGAGTTGGAAAGAGAATCTTAAGCAGGCTCCACACCCAGCATGGAGCTAACATGGGGCTCAGTCTCACAACCCTGAGATCATGACCTGAGCCAAAATCAAGAGTTGGATCCTTAACCGACTGAGCCACTCAGGCACCACCCCCCAAATATTCCTTTGCACATAACAAAGATTACTGCTGACTTACTCCTTGCCTTTTCTTCAATTGTCCTCAAAGACATTTTAATGTAAAAAAATATTGTTTTTAAAATTTAGAGAATATAGAAGTGTCTATAGAGAAAATGTGTTCATCTGTCATTCTATTCTTGCCTTAATCCCAGTCGTCAGAAATAGCCACCATTAATATTTGACTTCCCTGTACATGGTCTCATATATACATATACGCAATTTTTAAAATTAGTATATATGTGTGTGTGTGTGTGTGTGTGTGTGTGTGTGTGTGTGTGTGTATATATATATTTAGATTTTATTTGAGAGAGAGCATGCATGCAAGAAAAAAAGTGAGAGAGAGAGACAGAGAGCACATGTAGTGGGGAGGGGCAGAGAGAGAGGAAGAAACAGACTCCCCACTGAGCAGTGAGGTCACATGGGACTCAATCCCAAGACCCCGGGATCATGACTTGAGTGGAAGGCAGGTACTTAACTGACTGAGCCTCCCAGGTGCCACTACACAAAAAATTTTCAAATGACATCATACTGCAATGCTATTTTACAAATTCATTTTTGCTCTCCTTACTATATCATGAATTAGTTTAATGCCAATATGCAAGTCATTAACATGATGATAACTATTCATTATAAAAATAAGAGCTTTCCATCAACAGCCTACTCTCTAGCTGGGGTTTGCAATAGAGAAAATAGCTAGAAGAACTTGGTATAACCTAAGTTTTGTTTATTCAGTTAGTTCAGATTTTCCAGAGAACTGGGACGGGCAGTATTGAAATTTGAAGTCACTTTCTGGAAAGTGTAAAAAGCAGTGTTGAGAGTTCTAGGTACATGCTGGTTTTAAAGGAATGGTTTGACAGTGCCTGGAGGTATGGATTGTGATAAATGACCAGGATGCAGCTGAAGAATACCTCAAATGAAACGAATCTTTCCCTCTCCACCAGATACAAATGAGCCATTTGTAATAATAGCTCAGACCTCATCGGAAATGCCGCTTTTGACCTCAACAAATGAATTTTATACTAAAATGATGACACCAATTAATGATGCGGAAGCAAAGACTACATCTAAGTGTTACATACAGGTCACTGGTATGACTTGTGCTTCCTGTGTAGCAAACATTGAACGGAATTTAAGACGAGAAGAAGGTAAGACAGTCTTGGAGCCTGTTATTTTGTGTATTGATTTGAGGACTCTCTCCTTTTTGACCTCTTAGTTGTTTTATAACCATTTTTGTGGTTCTTGCTAGGGCCTTATGAAGTCCTGCATATGAGTGATGTACAGGACAACCTTGACTTTCTGACAGCCAGTTTTTGTGTTTTATTCCTAAGTTCCAATCTTGTTTATCTCACGATCAATAAATTTAATATCAATGAAATTTATAGGAAAATAACAGAAGGAAATGTATAAGGTTACTATTCTCTATAGACCTTGGTTGCAATCAATGTTAAGAAACATACAAATTTTCTGATAAAGCTATGCTTAAAACTAATAACCACAGTCCATAAGTTTCAGTATTACTGTACCTGGACCAAGAACCAGACCAAAACCAAGTTTGTTTAAAATTATAGTGTTCACTGATACTTGCTTATAGCAAAAATGTTAAAAAGTTACTCAGTATCATCTATAAATTTTAACTCTAGGTTACAAAATCTTAGAAAATTTACAGCATACTTTTTTTATTTAGTTATACTCAAATGTTTTACTTTATAAGTTTGCGTTCATATTAATAGACTTCACACTGTGGTATAATAGATTTGTTAACCATGTAGTTATGCATTAATGTTTAATGAGACTGAAATCATAGGTTTGGTACTAGCCCCAATGTCTTAAATAATACATGCCCTTGGTCACAAGGGCCAAATAGGTAAGATTAGTATCAGCTTATCCCCTCTATTGTGGGGCAATAACTCAAAGTATATAATAATAATATAGGGCTGGGGTCCATAGGCCTTATATATAAAGGCCTTATAACACACACACACACACACACACACACACACACACATGCGCCTTACGTTATATATACAGGCCAGAAAATTATAACGAAGTGTATGTTATACAGAGCCATCTTCAGTTATTCCCTTATCTGCATTGTGTCATTTTTGCATGTCATTTCAATCTCCATTGTATCTAATTAGAATGCAGTTGAGGCTGAAGCTTTTATTACACTTTGAATGATTAAAAGGGGAAAGGAGGGAGGTTAAAAACAAATGAAAACAAAAGAAGTTTGTAAAGTTCTTGTTTAATTTTAGAACCAATAATTTTTTTGCAATTTAGAAGTAGCCTTTTTCATAAGATAAGCAATGCCTATGCCAATCATGAATCTTTTTTTTTAAAAAAATCCATTCTGCTGATTGATCCTTCCTGTGCTTCCTACTATCTATCCCCTTTACTACCTCTTTACCCAATTAAGAATACCATTGGTCTAGCTGGGGTTACTATATTCACTTTTTAAAAAATTATGTAACACTCGCTGTCTCTTAGTTTAGTTTGCATTATATTTATAAAAATGAATAGAGTTTTAATTATAGTTTGAAGTAAGAGTTTAAAAAGTTAGCCATAATTTATGTAAGTATGAAACCTATGTTTGAGAGTCCAATTTTCCCTTCTATTTCTGTTTGGCTATAGATTACATCCAAATGAAGCAAAAAGATTTTTTTCTACTTTCTCTGTACCTTACTCTTATTACTGATGCTTTCCTATGAACTGGTCCTCTGAATTATTTGGTATCCACAAAGCACAGAATGTAAGCATTTTATATAGAAAACTTAGATTATATAGGTACTTTGTTTTCTTATTAAAAACTATTATTAAGTTAATACTATTTTCTTTTCTTTTTATCCAACTGTAGAGTTGACCTGTTGATCCCCATTGCCTGTCAGGTAGCCGCCAAGAGCCATAGATAACCAGAAAGAGCTGACACTTCTGCTATGAAGAATTAATTTTCTTCCTGGCAATGTTAGCAATAGCTGGCTTAGAGAAGTAGGATGGTTATTAATAAAAGGCTTGTGCTAGAGAACAGGATGACTGTGATAAAATGAACTCCTTTGTTTAATTAACAAGTTGTATGGCACTTCCCCCCCCATGAATAAGAGCACTTTATATTAGTGTGTACCAGACAGTAAAATTTGATAATTTTAAGAAATCACTATTATTTGATTATGTTATAATGTACATGTTGGTTCATCTTGGATTCTTTGCTGTAACTGCAGTGATTTCCTTAAGTGCTTAAGTTCCTTTCTCTCTAGGTCTCTGTCTTATTGGTTTCTACAAATGCTTTATATTTACATGATAAGGTCTCAGCCTATTGTAATTCATAGGCCTTACTTGGATCCCGATTCAAAAAAAAGAAACTGTGTTAGGCAAACTAGTAAACAATTGTAAGACAACTATGGAAATGTGAATTCTGCCTGGATATTTGGTGATAATGAATTATTTTAGGTATGATAAGGTATTATATGTACTTTTTAAAGAGAAGAGTCTATCTATAAGTGATATGTATTTAAATATTTACATATGAAATGTTATCTGGGTTTAGCTTCAAAATAATCAGGGTAGAGTACAGGAAGTAAGAGGATAGGAATATAGATGAAACAAGAACAGCCCCAGTATTAATTTTTTAAAAAGATTTATTTATTTATTTTAGAGAGGAGAGAACAGGGGGAGGGGCAAAGGGAGAGGGAGAGGGTGAGAGAGAATCCTTAAGCAGACTCCTTGCTTAGCACAGAGCTCAATGTGGGGCTTGATCCCAGGACCCCCAAGATAATGACCTGAGCCAAATCAAGAGTTGATCATCTAACCTACTGAGCTCCCCAGGTACCCCCAGCCCCAGTATTATTGATAATTGTTGAAACTGGGCAATGGTTGTATCAAGTTTATTATGTTGTTCTCTCTTTTGAGTATATATAAATCATAAATTTCCATAATAAAAAGTTTAAGAAACTAAGGCCCCATTTCAAATAGTTTTATTTGGTTTGGGTTCAAGACTGTATAAAAGCTAACTAATAACTAATAAATAACTAGCAAATTTCTCTATGTTCACTTTAATCCCTTTATACATGAAAAAATACTAATAACATTACTCTTTTTATAAGGGTATTATCTCAATTGCTTTTCTTATCAATGCTTCTAGGAATATATTCTGTACTTGTGGCTCTGATGGCTGGCAAGGCAGAAGTAAGGTATAATCCTGCTGTTATACAACCCCCAATGATAGCTGAGTTCATCCGAGAGCTTGGATTTGGAGCCACTATGATAGAAAATGCTGATGAAGGAGATGGTGTTTTAGAACTTGTTGTAAGTAATCATTTCTGTGTGATTAATAAAATTTACAGAAAAAACATAGGGAGGATTCAGAAAATAGTTCCAAAGATATTTAAGGGTTGGGAAAATAAGACATAAAAGAAAAATTAAGGAAACTGGAAAATAGAAAGATAAGATATAACTTAAGCATGGAATGTAAGATAATCATCTCTCTATTAAGAAACAAAAAAGAAGATTTAGGTTTGAATAAATAAATGGAAATCAACTTTTAAAATATAGTATGACTCCTACCTAGTAGCTAGAAAATAAATTTCAGATGCATCAAAGACTTAAATTTTATAGATGAAGCTATAAAACCAGGTGAAGGCATGTTGGTTTTAAAATGGTCATTTTTGCCAATCTAGCAAATTGAGTTTTATTTATATAACTTAAACAATTAAAACAAAAAAATGTAATACTGCACCAAAATTAGTTCCAGCTCCATAAAAAATTTAAATGTCAAAAAACATGAAATCACTAGGAGAAATATTTAGAGCTCTTTCCCCCAGTACTTTATTATAAAAACTTGAGACATCAGGAAAGTCAAAAGAATCGGACAGTGGAAACCCTTATACCCACCACCTAGATTCTACATTAACATTTTAGCGTATCTCTTTTACTATACATAAGTCTGTTAATCCATTGTGTAAATAATTTTAGACTCACAAAGTGGCAAAATGAGTAGAGAATTTATATGAAGCTTCTACCCAGCTTTTCCCAATAATAACATCTAACCTATTACTTAAAAAGTAGTATTAGAGTGACAATGGCCTTTCTATTTCACTCAGCATAATCCCCTCCAGTCCCAACCAAGTTGATGTAAACAGTGGGTATTCATCCTTTCTGATGGCTGAGTAAAATTCCATTGTGTATATGGACCACATCCTCTTTATCCATTCATCTGTTGAAGGGCATTTTGGCTCTTTCCACATTTTGGCTATTATGGAAATTGCTGCTATGAATATTGGGGTGCATATGGCCCTTCTTTTAACTACATCTCTATCTTTGGGGTAATTAGCCAGTAGGGCAATTGCCGGGTCATGGGTAGCTCTAAACTTTTTGAGGAATCTCCACACTGTTTTCCAAAGTGGCTGCACCAACTTGCATTCCCACCAACAGTGTAAGAGGGTTCCCCTTTCTCCACAACCTCTCCAATATTTGTTGTTTCTTGACTCGTAAATTTTTGTCATTCTATCTGGTGTAAGGTGATATTTCCATGTGGTTTTGATTTTAATTTCCCTAAAGGCTAATGATGATGAACATTTTTTCATGTGTCCATTAGCCACTTGTATATCTTCTTTGGAAAAGTGTCTGTTCATGTCTTTTGCCCATTTTTTGACATGATTATCTGTTTTTTTGGGTGTTGAGTTTGAGAAGTTCTTTATAGATCTTGGATATCAGCCCTTTATCTGTAGTGTCATTTGCAAATATCTTTTTGCATTCTGTGGGTTGCCTCTTTGTTTTGTTGACTGTTTCTTTTGCTGTGCAGAAGCTTTTGATCTTGATGAAGTCCCAAAAGTTCATTTTTGCTTTTGTTTCCCTTGCCTTTGGAAACCTGTCTTGAAAAAAGTTGCTGTGGCCAATGTCAAAGAGGTTACTGCTTATGTTCTTCTCTAGGACTTTGATGGATTCCTGACTCACACTGAGGTCTTTCAGCCATTTAGAGTTTATCTTTGTATATGGAGTAAGCATATGGTCGAGTTTCATTCTTCTGTACATAGCAGTCCAATTTTCCCAGCACCATTTATTGAAGAGACTCTCTTTTTATCCAGTGGATATTTTTTTCTGCTTTGTCAGAAATTAGTTGACCATAGAGTTGAGGGTCTATATCTGGGCTCTCTATTCTGTCCCATTAGTCTATGTGTCTGTTTTTATGCCAATACCATGCTGTCTTGGTGATCACAGCTTTGTAATATAGCTTGAAATCAGGCAGTGTGATGCCCCCAGATTTGTTTTTTCTTTTTCATTGTTTCCTTGGTGATTCAGGGTCTTTTCTGGTTCCATACAAATTTTAGAATAGTTTGTTACAGCACTTTGAAAAATGCCATTGGTGTTGAAAGTATAGATTGAAAGTATAGATTGCTCTGGGCAGTATAGATATTTTAACAAGGTTATTCTTTTGATCCATGAGCATGGAATGTTTTTCCATCTTTTTGTGTCTTCAATTCCTTTCATAAGTGTTCTGTAGTTTCTAGAGTATAGATCCTACACCTGTTTGGTTAGGTTTATTCCAAGGTATCTTATGGTTTTTGGTGCTATCGTAAATGGAATCGATTCCCTAATTTCTCTTTCTAGAGTTACATTGTTAGTGTATAGGAGAGCAACTGATTTCTGTGCCTTGATTTTGTATCCCACCACGTTACTGAATTGCTGTATGAGTTCTAGAAATTTAAGGGTGGAGTCTTTTGGTTTTCCACATAAAGTATCATTTCATCTGCGAAGAGAGAGTTTGACTTCCTCTTTGACAATTTGAATACCTTTTATTTTTGTTGTTGTTGTTGTTGTCTGATTGCTTTTGCTAGGACTTCTAGTACTATATTGAATAATAGTGGCAAGTGTGGGCATCCTTGTTCTTCATCTTAAGAGAAAGGCTCTAAGCTTTCCCCATTGAGAATGATGATCACCGTGGGCTTTTCATAGATTTTTTTTTTTTTATGAAAGAGGAATGTTCCCTCTATCCCTACCCTCTGAAGAGTTTTAATCAGGAAAGGATGTTGTATTTTGTCACATGCTTTTTCTGTATCCATTGAGAGGACAATATGGTTCTTCTCTCTCCTCTTATTAATGTGTTATATCACTGATTAATTTGAAAATTTTGAACCACCCTTGCATCCCAGGGATAAAACCCATCTGGTTGTTATGGATAATCCTGTTAATGTACTGTTGAGTCCTATTAGCTAGGATCTTATTTCCATATTCATTGGGGATATTGGTCTGTAATTCTCCTTTTTGATGCAGTCTTTACCTGGTTTTGGGAATCAAGGTACTGCTGGCCTCATAGAATGAGTCTGGAAGTTTTCCTTCTGTTTCTGTTTTTTGAAACAGCTTCAGGAGAGTAAATATTATTTCTTCTTTGAATGTGTGGTAGAATTCCCCAGGGAATCCATCAGGCCCTGGACTCTTGGTTTTTTGGAGTTTTTGAACGCTGCTGCAATCTCTTTATTGGTCATTGGTCTATTCAGGTTGTGAATCTTTTCCTGTTTCAGTCTTGGTAGTTTAAAGGTTTTCAGGAAGGCATCCATTTCCTCCAGGTTGCTTAATTTATTGATACAGAGTTATTGATAATTTATGATAATTGTTTCTATTTCCTTGGTGTTAGTCATGATCTCTCCCCTTTCATTCATAATTTTATTAATTTTGGTTCTTTCTTTTTTCTTTTGGATAAGTCTGGCCAGTGGTTTATTGATGTTTTTAATTCTTTCAGAGAACCAGCTTCTAGTTTCATTGATCTGCTCTACTGTATTTCTGGTATCTATTTCATTAACCTTTGTTCTACTCTTAATAATTTCTCTTCTTGTGCATGACTTAGGCTTCATTTGTTTTTTTTGTCTCCAGTTCTTTAAGGTGTAAAGTTAGTTGTTGAATTCGGGATTTTTCTGTTTCTTTTTTTGTTTTGTTTTGTTTTGTTTTGAGTGAGGCTTGGATAGCTATGTATTTACCCCTTAGGACCACTTTTGCAGTATCCCATGGGTTTTGGACTGATGTGTTTTCATTCTCATTGGTTTCCATGAATTGTTTAAGTTCTTCTTTGATTTCCTGGTTGACCGAAACATTCTTCAGCAGGATGGTCTTTAGCTTCCAAGTGTTTGAATTTCTTCCAAATTTTTTCTTGTGATGCAGTTCCAGTTTCAAAGCGGTGGTCTTTGAATATACAGGGAATAATATAATAATAATATGCAGGGAATATAATTTACATATTATATTACTTTATTAATATATAAATATAGTAAATTATTAATATACATATTATAGAAATATTATAATATATTAATATATATTAAATATTAATACATAATAAATAATAATTCACTATATTAATACATATTAATAATTAATATAATAATATATAATGATTAATATAATAATTAATATATTAATATATAATATATTATATTTTAATATATATTTATATATAATAAAATAATAATATGCAGGAAATAATCTCAATCTTTTGGTATTGTTTGAGACGTTTTTGTGACCCATTATACAGTCTATTCCATGTGCGTTCAAGAAGAATGAGTATTCTGTTGTTTTAGGGTGGAGTGTTCTATATATATCTATGAGGTCCATCTGGTCCAGTGTGTAATTCAAAGCTCTTGTTTTTTTGTTGATTTTTTGCTTAGATGATCTGTCTGTTGCTGAGTTGGAGTGTTGAGGTCTCCTACTATTAATATATTATTATCAATATTTTTTCTTATTTTGGCTAATGGCTGGTTTATGTAGTTGACTGCTCCCATTTTGGGGCCATAGATATTGATAGTTGTTACAGCCTCTTGTTAGATAGACCCTTAAAGAATGATATCATGTCCTTCTGTATCTCTAACTATAGTCTTTAGCTTAAAATCTAATTTGTTTAATATGAGAATTGCTACCTTAGCTTTTTTTTGAAGTCTGTGAGCATGAAAGATGGTTCTCTATCCCTACACTTCCAGTCTGGATGTATCTTTAGGTTCAAAATCAGTCTCTTGTAGACAGCATATGGATGGGTCCTGACTTGTTATCCAGTCTGCAACCCTCTGCCATTTCATGGGAGTATGTATGCCATTCACATTGAGAGTGATTATTGACAGATAAGATTTTGTTGTCATCATGTTGCCTATGAAGTCCTTGTTTCTATATATTGTCTCTAAATTTCTGTTATGTATCACTCTTGGGGTCTTTCTCCTTTTATAGACCCCCCCCCTTAATAGTTCTTGCAGGGCTGGCATAGTGGTCACATATTCTTTCATTTTCTCATTTTCTGCTGGTCCTGGATGTTATCTCTTCATCCATTC